ATGTTAAAGTTGTCACTTTTTGAGGGTTAGCAAAAACGCACCGTTTTGTGTCTGTTCCTTTAAATGCAAATGCGCTGCAGCTCCTGACACAGTGGGCGGAGCTTCAAGAGTGTGTGTGTTAGCAGCTCCGATTACCTCACGCAGACACACGCTAAAATGTCAGAAACTGTTCTGCCTTTTATGTTTAAACCGGAGTCAGACAAAGATGGAGAGACTAAGAAGAAGTGACAACATGTAGAATGCAACAGGACATCTCTGAATGGTTAGTTGATGAATTTATGTAGCTGATGTGTAGTTAACTATCTTCAATTAGCATATTCTGTCAGGATAATCTATAAATCGCTTGTAGGAACTGTTGTGAGATGCACACAGAGTGACTACAACAGCTCTTCCTCTTCTCAGCATGGACTGCGTGTTCCCGAGGCCGGGTTTATGTAAATGTTATGGTTAGTGATGTCACTAACCCGGGAGGAAGCTCGTGTAGTTCCTACCAGCCGTTTGTTGTAGTCCTTAAAAAACAATTTCTTTAAAAGTAAATATCTCCCTTTGCTTTGGACTTTGAGTGTTGTAACTTTGCAGATGTTGTTTATGCTCAAACAGCAACATTACACACTAACTACAGTTAGAAAAGTGAAATCATAATCAACCCCCCCTTTAAGGAAAAGGGTTTAACCTACTGGCCACATTTTGTCAGGATTTGCATTGTATGTGCAAGGCGCAGAATTGCTGTTCTCATTTAAAAAAGAGGATTATGGGAGTTTTTTAAAGCAAAAACAACAGCCTTATTTCCTCTCAGCGGGATCTGCCAGAGGAGCGTTCTCAGTTTGGTATCTGAGACATTGCTGCGAGTCACACGTAAGATTACTGGGGTCTTTAAACAAGTCTACATTTTCTCTCCATTTCATATGTCTTTGAGAAACAACTGGGATATTGAACATCTTCTACAATGAGACCAGCATGTCGTACTTGGCCAGGCATCTGGTCTCTCCCCGAGTCTCTGGATTGCCTGCGACAGGTCCTGCAGGCCGGAGAGGCCCGTCCGGTTACCACTGATGGTCAGGACAGTCCTGATATCCACCAGAAGTCGAGAGAGTCTGAAAACGAGAGAATAAACCTGCATTAATGACCAAACCCAAAGAAAAGAAAAATCATGATAGAGTCTGAGATCCTGTAGAGAAAAGCATCTCACATGGAGTTGTCGAAGTTGCTCACTCGCCCGGGTGTTTCTCCTGGAGTGGGGTGATGATAACAGGGATTGTTGACATTGCAGACGATGCCCTGAACCCATGCCAGTGTGCCCGCTGAAGGAAGGGGCTTGTTGGGAAAGTGACCTGAAGTGGGGAAAAAGATCTGAATTTAATGTGAAACATTCAAAACATAAAGACATTTAAATGAACTGAAATAAACTTTTACATAAAAAATAAAGTATATCTTCTAATGATGTACACTTAGGCGCTACTTGCATTTAAAATCATGAGATGCATGGCAGGGGAATAAACATATGTAAGACAAAAAACTAGACACGTTTGTATAAGAGTGCTCCATGTTTAGAATGCTGTCATTCACAAGATGCAGAACAGACGTCCACCTGGTGCACAATTACATAGAAAAACAACGGAAAAGCAGCACAACAGAATACACAAATATGTTCTTTGTAAAAGGCCTCCTACCGTCATGTGTACTGTACACTCAGGTGAGATGATTTTAATATTCTCAAACTTTTGTTTTTGTGTGATGCTGCATCCACATCACTAGCCTTCAGTATTCAGTTTAATAAAGTCATTATAAAGTTTAAAGTTGGTAATTGTAATCCTATTTTTTTTTTTGCGACTTCTCGGCTGAGAAAATAATTAGAGTAGGACTTGGTTTTGTCCACTAGGAATTGATTGGTCATCGTATCATTGCTAATTGCTATGATCGTTTCCTGGTTGCTGGAGGGAAAGAGCTAGCCTGGTTAAAACCAGAGCATTCCCAGTTGTAGCTGAGTTATGGTCTGGCAAAGCGTCATAGACAAATCATTTCGGCGGATTGGAAATGGGCTTGAATGAGCTCTTTGCCAGACTAACTTTCAGAGCAAATCTAAATTTGCCGGAAGTTGTCTGGGTTTTCCCAGGCTAGGAAGTATCCTTAGTTTAAACATGCTCATCTGAATAGCCTTTATATACAGTAGTTCTGTTGTGTTTGTTTTATGTTTGTTCTGAGAATAGACATGACTGTTTTCCTCACTGGAATTCCTCCACAACTTGCAATATTCATAAACAACATTCGGAGCAATGTTAAATAAATAAATAAATAAATAAATAAATAAATAAGCCCTATAAAATCTACCCTTATTAGAGAAATGTGCAACATTCATTTCATTTAATTAAAAAATTCATCACGTCATTGGGACTAAATTTTCTTCAGATGAGCCGTCAGAAAGGTCATGCTTATAAGCACTGCCACAGGGCTCAACAATGTCCTGATTTTCAGTGTAGCTAATCAGCTTTGCTTCCCTGCCGAACAGGAGGGCAACTCTCGCTCACGGCCCGTCACTTACACTGGCTCTGTTTATATGGCGGGTGTGATTGCCGGACAGCAATGAGGATGAAGAAGAGGAAGAGCGGCCACAGAAGTTCAATTATCATTTGGACCTGTAAGGAAAGATAAAGAGACAAAAAATATCATGTTTAATGGCATTCCTCCCTCTATGGCACCTGTGGAGTGTTTGACAGAGAGTGAGTGTTGGGCTGGAGGACTAAAGACCCTCACCTTGTTTCTCCAGCGGTACGTGAAGTTTTTCCACAGCAGCAGATAGAGCTGCGTTCCTATGGCCATGACGGACGGCACAGAACTACGCAACCATGCTAACAGAGAAAACCTACAACAACAAAAATGGTTCTATTATTCCTCCATGCAAACACAATGACGCATACTTGGCTTAACTTTACACTCGAAGCCTTTCAATTCAGTAAGAGTCTTCTTCAATGCAAGACAAAAGGAGATGATATGAAGATTTTCACTCCATACAATTAAAGTTAATGGTGACTGTCAATCTCAAAAAACACCATTGTAAAAGCATCATAACAATATTCCAAGTCTTCTGAATCAAAATGCTAGTTTTACTATGAAAATGTTTAATTGTAGCTCTCAAATCTCATTGTTTGATTTGAATATGCACATTATTCAAATTGGAGCTTCTTGGTTACAACAAAATGTTAATTTGGGTGTGAACAAACCCCTTTAAGTGAATGGATGAGTTGTTGAAAGTTAAAAAGACATGATCTCTTCAGCTTTGACTGTAAATTCCTTTTCTTGAAATCCTCATTATACTAATTGGCTTAACAGAGCCAAGACAAATAAATCTCCTCTAAAATGGGAACAGAAAAATACAGCTTGTGTAAGACAAAGATCATGTGTAATGACGGAAATTATTACGGGCTGCTTTTGTTTGAACAAAACATTAAAAAATTGTCAACACTGCTGATTTCAAAATCAAATCCCTAAATATCTGACGTAACAGAACTAAAGATTGTTTATTGAAACTGACATAATTATCTTCACACTCTTTATACACTAAACAAAATATTTTTTAAATAGGCCTATTTAAAAAATAAGGCCTGATAAGAGCAGTATATTCTAAATATTTTCATTATAAATAATGTAGTTCGTTCTCCCTGGTATTCTATAATGCAAGATATACTTTAGGATACAATAATTTGTCATTAATATTTAATGAACCGTTCATTGCAGGTTCGAATCATTCGCAGTACCGTAGCTTTAACTTTCGCTATTGACGTCTAGAAACAACACATTATTCACGGGTAGAAAGCGGTTACCTTTCGTTTTATCCAAAACTTCATTTGCCTCATGAATTCAGCAGTTCTGCTGCAGTCCTTCTGCAGTCCGTGGCTGTGCGCGTGGCCGTGCGCGCCGCCGGTGTTACGAGATCACTGTGAGGAAGAGCCAGCATGGGCGGGGCTTCCATTCAAAACATTGAAACCACATTGAGCTTGTAGCCAATCGAGAGCGCTACATTCAGGATATGTAGCCAATCATTTGCTGTGTGTCATTTAGTACCCGCCCATTTAGACTTTACATAAGCCCTGCGCAATTTCCGGCAACCGTACAGTGAGCCTGTCCGGAAATGTAATTATTGTTATATTTTTATATATCTTATAATTTTGCGTATATCCTGTGAGGATTGTCGATATCTTAAATATCTATAAATATTGAAAATAAGATTTAATTTAATAGTAGTTAACTACATCAGTTAACATGGACTAAGAATGAGCAATTCTTCTACAGCATTTATTAATCTCAGTTAATTTCAACATTTACTAAATACACCATGAACAAACAATGGACAGTTGGATTTTTATTAACCAATGTTAACAAAGATTAATAAATACTGAAACAAATGATTGTTAGTTAATACATTAACTAATGTTAACAAATGAGACTAAAGTCAAGTGTTACCAAAATATAAGATATACCTTAGAACGGTACTATACCTTTATTTCTCTTTAAACAATTAAACACACAAATCAAGAAAGAATGTCTTTATGTATCTTTAATAAACATCAATACAGCAGTTATTAAAATATACTTCTCTATATAGCTAAAAACAACCCTGGCATCATCAAGGTCCATTCATGTTTACGGCACCGAGTCTTGAGCTCTGTAAAGAGCACGTAAACCCTTAAAACCACTGAACATCTGATCCGTGATGAGATATTGCAGAAGCGCTGGAAGCTTGAGATGGAAGGCTCAAGATTATTCAAGATTAGTTTTAAACGTGTGGATTCTAATGCATAGTCCTTCAAAAACAAGGCTTGTCTTCAGGCACATTGGCTTAGCAGCAAGAGCAACAACACATGTACACATAATAACCAGCAGTTAAAACAGCTTTTAAAACACAGGTCCATGATCTTTGTAACGTTCTACACGGTTCAGCTTTAAAGGACAGAGAATAAGTCCTCTACACTGTCCAGTGGTGAGTCTGCATGTGACGAGTAACCCGAGGGGTGCGCTCCTACAGGAACACAGGCTGATCTAGGCCGGTCAGGAGACGGTACGTCGATGTTGGCATCGTCTTCAGATGAATCTGTTACAAATTACATCAAAGTTTATTACTAATGAAAATGTATCCCGTCTATTTTGTAAATGCAAGTTAAGCTCTTATTGTGAACGATTCCCCCACGTAATCATAAAGTCATAACTGGATCTTCTGGGTGAAACTGTCTGGTGTTGCAGAACTTTAGTCAGCTAAAGCCCACATCTCAAAATCTAATCAATAACAGATCCATTCAACCAAGTTCACGCCCTACATTTATTTTTCGTTAGACTTGGATGTACGTCACAACCATTTAATTGTGAAAAAGTAAATTGCAAAAAAATAATTATTAAAAAAAAAGCTATACTGGAGAATGTTTTTGACTCAATGTTTGTTTTATGAACAGCAATAAAACACAGTAAACCAGATCCAAACCACATCCAGATTTGAAATCCGATTTAAGGCCGATGTTTTGGAGTGTGTTGAAGTCTGAATGATCAGATCCCAAGTATTTGATTTCATTCTTGCTGTAGTAAGAAGTGTGAATATTGTTTAAAGTCCTCCTACCTCTCCCACAGCACTGGACAGCACGTGGATGATCTTCTCGTGAGGCGTAGCAACGACACTCTGTCCATTGATCTCGATGATTCGATGACCGACTCGAATGCCGCCGCGCTCAGCTATTCCTCCTCGCATTAAACTGCAAATCTGTTAACAGAAACACAATGTCAGATACTCAACACAGCTTCATAGTGGTTGTAAACAGTCGCTTACAATCCCGTCCTCCACGCTGAAGCCCAGCTGGTACTTGGGGTCCGGACGCTTAATGATCGCCATTGTGACCGGTGGACAGTGAACGATGCTGAGCTTTATCATCGACAGGTTCTTTAAATCCTGGCGAGAAAGAAGAATCAATATTTTGGCACGAGATGCTGAGTGTTTTAACTGTTGTGGAATGCTTCATATCCGGCTGGCGTTACCCGTATGACACTTTGGCAGGTGGCGATGGGGAGGCCCACCAGACTGGTGCCGTTCACGGCCATGATGCGGTCCCCGATGCTCAGCGCGCCGGACCGCTCCGCAGGGCCGCCGTGGAGAAGGTTGGCCACCACCACTGTCGGCAAGATGGAGCCCCAGCCAGACTCCACCACTGCAACGCCTAATATCTCTCCGGCCTTTTTTGATATGCATACCTACAAATAAAAAGAGGGGAATGGGTTTTATTCATGCCATCTAGCTATGTGTGGGCAATACGACCAGAATCTTTCATTACGATATGAGTCATTTTATTTCATGATAACGATACATCCCGTTTAAAAAATAAAATGAAATTTCATAATTTTTGTCACCAATTTCTAGTGATGGGGACGAGACCCCCTATGCCGAGTCCGAGTCGAGACCGAGTCTTTGAAGGGTCGAGTCCGAGTCGAGATTTTGTCTCGACATGTCAGTTTTGATATTCATGATTTAATATCACCCCAGTTAATAATCAACAGCTAGGCCTACAACCTAAGCTTGATTGGGAATTGTTTAGAGGAGCAGTCTTAATATGGACTATGCTTTTACTATCATTAAAAAATCCCTACCACATGCATGCATCATCTTCTGCCTATTTTTCTAAAATGCTTCAACAGTGCTGCTCTGTCATCAACATGTTAAGCCCACCCTGACTTTTTTAATCATAGTTAGGACATGCAGAGCAAATCAAAATTTTCTAGTGGCATGTCTAATTTAGTAGGCTTAGCTACTTTATAACATTTTCCAATATTTCCCAAATTTAAATATTTTGACAATACACTCGAATTCAAAAAATAAATAAAACTTGATTCCCCCATAACACACAAACATTACATAAACACAATTGCTCTGTGTAATGCAGTTAATGACAATACTGACTCTTTTACACCCCCCTCCCCTCCCACAAACACACACACCCAAAATGTATATCACACTACGTCACACTGCTGTTAACAACTATGTTCTATGTATAGTTGTAGTCTCCCTCCCCCCATATGTTATATGAACATTAAAAAAAAAAATGCGTTGGAAAAAAAATCTCGATGACTCGGTCTGAAATTACGAGTCCTCCTCCCACTGTGGTCCGAGTCCGAGTCAAGACCGAGTCTTTGAAGGAACGAGTCCGAGACGAGTCCGAGAAAGCAGAAATTGGTCTCGAGACCGGACTCGGGTACTACATCACTACCAATTTCAATACCCCCCCCAAAAAAACTAATACCAGCCTAACTAACATAAGTAAAAAAATTTTTTTTTAAACATACAGGGATCAACATCCCATCATCAACAACATCCCGAATTTGACGCTCTATTTTTTGTGCGTTTGGTGTGACCGCATAATGAACAGGCTGCGATGTCAAGATTCCAATGCTGGAGTGTGTGTGTGTGTGTGTGTGTGAGAGAGAGAGAGAGAGAGAGAGAGAGAGAGAGAGAGAGAGGCGCGGGCGCGATCGAACTGTGTGTGTGTG